TCTTCTTCGTCTGTGTATGGTAGGGGCTGGCGCAGTCCTCCTGTGTGAAGCGCCAGACCCCATTCACACCATGTAACGATGATGATGATGTATGTTCAGGGCTGCATTGCAATATTGATTGTTCGGATCATTGGTATCTAAGTCTTCCGCTACGCCATCTTGTACTTTGTATTGAGAGGTCAGTTCTTGTTCTGGTCTGCACCGTTACAGTATGCAACAATTTGGTATCGGAGCGGACCTCTCATTCAGAGGACCCGCTCAATCAAGTAGCCAGCTTGCTTGATCTATTGATCACTCAGTAGTAAATCAAGTAGGACTTCGTCAAATCTCTGGAAAAAAAATAATTCTTGCAACAACAATATTGATTATTCGGATCATTGGTATCTAAGTCTTCCGCTACGCCATCTTGTACTTCGTATTGAGAGGTCAGTTCTTGTTCTGGTCTGCACCGTTACAGTATGCACCTGTTTGGTATCGGAGCGGACCTCTCATTCAGAGGACCCGCTCAATCAAGTAGCCAGCTTGCTTGATCTATTGATCACTCATTATTAAATCAAGTAGGACTTCGTCAAATCTTTTCTGGAAATCGCATCTCTATTCTATCTCGCAATTTTTTTTTCAAAATCGCATTTTGTGAAAGCCGAAACTTTGCGGAACCTAGCCTAGAGCTCGTTCATAGTACTCTTCTGACATGTCTCACTCATAACGAATCGACAGATATACAAAAAAAAAAAAAAAAAAAAGGAAAGTCCTCTTTTATTTTCTTAATTTTATTTTATCTGTTGATTAGGGCCAGGAGGAAAGTATTGTTGGGTTGGTTCCCTACCTGCGTTTTCCCTCCCCACCCACCCTTTGCATGCATTTCCGGGTTGGTACAGTGCCACGTCAGCAACAGTGCCACGTTAGCAGCAGTGCCACGTCAGCAGTGCCACGTCAACAGTGACGTCAGCAGTTCCACGTCAGCAACAGTGCCACATCAGCAGTGCCACGTCAGCAACAGTGCCACGTCAGCAGTGCCACGTCAGCAGTACCACGTCAACAGTAACAGTGCCACGTCACAGTGCCACGTCAGCAGTGCCCCGCCACCATGACAAGCGTAGCTCTGGGCATGCCAGGCCAACTGGCCAACGAGTCTCTTGCCGGCTACAAACAGCGGTTCCAGGCTCAGCTCGCTCTGATCGAGGCTGAGGAACAACGCCAGCTGGCAGCCGAGGCTGCCCGCCTACAGGCTGAAGCAGCGGCAAGAGCTGAAAGGCAGCGGCTACAGGCCGAAGCAGACGCAGATGCCCAGGCACACCGCAAGGAAGCCCAGGATCTGCTGCGGCGGCATGAAGCTGCCAGCATCGAAAGACTCAAGTTCTGGCACTTTCAACCGTCCAACGGCGACGACACGACACCGTAAGAGCAGCATAAGGAGTTCCTCTCCAAACTCGTGACACGGTTGTTGTACGCTTGCAACTACCAACAATCCGAGTTAGAGAGACAGAACCAGGAACTGCAGCAACAGTACCAGGATCTGAAGACACAGCACCAGGAGCAACGAGGATGCTACACGGGCACTCAATTCCCGTGTATTGGACCTGGAGCAAGCCGTACCAGGACCAGACGCTGGTGAGTCCAGCAGTGCACCCTCTAACCGCCAACTGGAGCAACGCGTCGACCACGTCGTCGCAATGTTCGGCGACATCAGCACCTTCGCTGCGCCGACCACCATCAGCAATCAGCTGGATACCTTGAAGACCGAGGTCCAGCAACTGCAGTCGACGAACACGGATGGCAACAATCCAAAGCAATACAAGATGCCAACTTTTCAACTTGAGAAGTTCGACGACTACACGCATCAGGACCCGGTGCTCTGGTGGGAAGCTTTCACGACGCAACTTCGGATTCTGCCTGTCGCCAAGCACGCGTACATCGGCGCCCTGTTCATGAACTCAAAGGGCGGATGCCAGATCTCGTTAACCCACCTGGCAGCCACCCACGGCGTCGACGTCGCAGATCTGAGAGACAAGATCACATGGGAAGAGTTAACACGGTTGTGGAAGAAGCGGTTCATCGTCGACGACGCACCAGCACTCACCATCAACCGTCTCTTCACCATGACTCAAGGCAACACAGCAACACGTGACTGGCTCACGGAATGGCAGAAGATCGCGGCAACGCCCGATCTTGACTTACCATTTCCGCATCTACGCCGTGAGTTCTACAACAGGTCATGCGCTGCATTGAGCCAGGCACTTGGTGATCGCGAGCAGTACGCAACCTTCGCTGAGATCATTGACAAGGCGAGGGAGATCATCAAGACCAACAGGGCGGCTGCGCACGAGAAGTCAACGTGGCAGCCAACCTATGTGGAGAAGGTGAGAACTGGTCCGCGACAGCAGCAATTCGTTGTAGTCCAATCGGACAACACTGTGGAAGACTCGACAGCCACCCAAGCGTCACGTGAGGGAGATCAGGTGGTTGCTGTCCAGCCGCGAAGCAACAACAAGCCCCGAGTGAACGGGAAGGCGAAACCAGCATCGCAGGCCGGAAACGGACAGCCAACACCACCATGGGTCAAGTTCAACTTGACCGAGGCCGAGTACAAGTACCGCGGCCGTTACGGCTGCTGTTACTCGTGCAACAGCACCAAGCACAAGACCTCCCTTTGCCAGGATCAGGCCAAGGAGGATGTGTGGCCTCATCTTAACTCGGGAAACTGAGTGTCGTGGGAGGTGAGGCGACTCCACCCCCCACTCCGCCAGATTCGGCCGCCTTGCTAGCGGCCTCCTACACATCTGGGGAGGATGCGAATGTCGTAAGTTCTTGGTATGCTTACGAGGACTATGCTGTCCACTTGGTCCCACCGCTGGACCAACCACTCCACGTGCAACAATCTACCGCATGCACGGTTTCATCACCATCGACAACCGATTCGGCAGCTTCGCCGCCATCTACCGTCGGGGATTCAACGTCATGGTCAAGACTTGAAGAGCTCGACTCGTTGACATTTGTGGACTTCCAATGGATGCCCCTTCCCCGGTCCGGTCGATTGCCGAAACCGCATTGCAACGTGCTCAAGGCACAATTGTGGTGCGGCGGTCCCGCACCCCGCTGGGAGCGCTGAACCTCACGGTCGTGTCACGCAGGATTTATTTTTGAAGAAACAACTTGTCACCACTCCAACCGTGCGCGCGTGCTATACCTCTCACGACTACGTATTTCAAGTCGAACTTTTTAATGGTAGTCTATTTCCGCTCTATGCTTTAATTTTCTGATGATCGAACCTGTCCGACTTTCCTAGCTGCTAAGACTCTCTATCCTACTGAACAGATTATGTCACAACTGTTAACAAATAACACAAGATTTATATAAGACCATAAAGAGTATGAGAGTATTACCGCCGGGAACCCTTTCCACTGTCACAAGTGTTGTGTGCCCGGGACTCTTCACGATGTCAAGCCCAGATTCAATCCAAAACCCACCAACAAAACAGACCTGCACATGATAATGCAAAGACAATCCACATGCCATGCACTAGCGGAGTCAACCATCAATCCACACCTCAAACTGTGTCCCTCACTTCCCAAACCATGTAATGCAACTCTATCCTTTTCCTGAGACGTAAGCCCAGCCCCCTCACATTTCTTCAAAGGAGCATTGAGAGTGACTAGGACCATTTAGGCAATGACCACAGGGGACAGTTTTACTGATCACAGGGTTCGACTTTAGATGTAGGTATCAAGTCAAAAGGGGGAAAAGTTGAATCGACAACGACCGACCTGTTATCGAGTGATAACAGAAAGTTGAGTCCTTTATGTAAGACTTCTCCTTTGATTGCAGTTGACCAAAACAGAGACCTGCACACACATAGGTCAACAAAGATTCAACATCTCCACTCGATTCCCACATATTAAGGGTCAAGCCCTTAGATCTGATTCGTGATCTTTGGGACCAATTCCCAGTGTCTAATCCCTAACTTCTACCTACCCTAAGTCATCTGTCACTATTCCTCCTATGTCCTAGGTCGCCTTAGGGAAACTCATATTTTCCCCAACTCTCAGTACTTGCATTTTTCTCTTTTGTGGACAAGCACACCCTCTGGTGCTTTATGCGGTAGTCTAGTTGAGATTAACTCATGCTGTTGACAACTCCTCATTAGGAGGTTATTCGCAAAACCTCTCTTTTCCTAATCCTTTGTCCCTACGGTTTTTGTCTTCTATTCTACTCCTCCCTATGGACTTTTAGAGTCGCCCCTGACGGAACACTCCTTTTTCCTTTTTATTCTTATTGTCCTGACATACGCAAGTCGCTGGTAGACTCACCCGGGAATCATCCACTACTTGATCAATTCCAAATCAAACGTAAGTCATACGAGTAGTCGAATTGCTCCTACGGAAGCAATCAACCACCCTTCATAGCTCAAGCAATCCTCATGCGATCAAACAATTCAGGCAATCAGGCGCGAGTGACTGGGTAATTCATATGTGAGTATTTAATTTTTGATAAAACCCCTTTTAGATCCAGATGTCAATACAGAAGTTCAAGCAAGTAATAGGCGATCTTCCCGGAAGCCTCCTACTACTTCTTGATCGGAGCTCAGTCTACCTCTCATAAGCGTAATAGGACGATCCAACGGGAGTCACCCTACTACTAACTTAGAGTCGGACGAGCTTGAGATTAAGTCAGTGGTGTTTGGATGATTCGAAGTGCCATACTCGGTACGTTAGAATGTAGCCAAGTGGTTTATATAGAATGAGTCTATGGGAGCCTCCTATATCCGGATCCAATGTTAACTAATCAGGTCGTTGGTAATCATGCAATGCCAAACAAGTAGCAGGGTTACTCAATTCCCTTCCTGTTAGTTGATCCCTAGATCAAACAAAGTATTAAGATGACCCTCCCGGGAGCCACCTAATATCCGTTCGATGTGTAGGGAACCAAATTGTTTGTAATTGTCAATTGATCCCCAGATCAAACAGAATATTAAGATGACCCTCCCGGGAGCCACCTAATATCTGTTTGATGTGTAGGGGATAAAGATTATTTATAGTTGTTAATTGACCAAGATGACCCTCCCAGGAGCCATCTAATATCTGTTTGATGTATAGGGAATCAAGATTGTTTGTAATTGTTAATTGATCCCCAAATCAAACCGAATATTAAGATGACCCTCCCGGGAGTCACCTAATATTTGTTCAATGTATAGGGGATAAATCCTTTGTTAGTTGACCCCTAGATCAAACAGAATATTAAGATGACCCTCTCGAGAGCCATCTAATATCTGTTCGATCTAGCGGATAAAGAAATTATTTGTAGTTGTTAATTGATCCCCAGATCAAACAAAGTATTAAGATGACCCTCCCGGGAGCCATCTAATATTTGTTGAATACATAGGGAATCAAGATTATTTATAGTTGTCCTGGGAGTCCAATTACTAAGTTAGGCAAAGGCATGTTGACTTACACGGAAGGCAACACAGATCGCCCTAGACTCAGGAGTTCGTGTACTCACCCGRSAGTACTTAATTCCCTCCTTAAGTCTAATCCAATCTTTCGATAGGAGAACTCCACGGGAGACTCCTATTACCTCTGCTTTTGTCAGTTATTTGAAAATGATGTATTCCACGGAAGTATCCGATTAGTTCTTGCCTTGGTTAAATCAGTTGAAAACGTGTACTTCATGGAAGTACCAGATTGATTCTTGGATTTAACTGTATGAGTTATCAGGGAAAATGCACGGTATTTTCCCATCCTTAATGTTGAAATCCAGGGCTAAATAGTTAGGCTGGGTAGCTTGCACGACAAGTACCCTTTTAATCATTCCAGACAGCGCGACGACCCCAACGGAGGCCTTCATCAAACTGCCTTTGTTGTCTCAAAACCAAACAGGCTAAGTTTCCTTCTCGGTTCTTTCCTAGATTCCTTTCCTTTCCTCAGGCAAGGTTCTCATTCCAATCATATAGTACTTTTCTTAGTTGACATGATTAGTCTTGAAGAAACCTATAAACAGTATATCACATAAATACACAGGCATTTTGCTAGAAAGGGTGTAGTTTGTAAGGGATATGGGGAAAGAATCGATGACGCGTACCTTATAGTTCCCTGCCTCCAGAGTTCCTCCTCAACTCCGGCAGAGCTCCCGCAATCGCCCTGTTTTGTCGGTCTCGTACAGGGTGCACATGCATTAAGTATCTATTCGAAATAGATCAGTATAGTTAAGGGTGCACATGCATTAAGTATCTATTCGGAATAGATCAGTATAGTTAAGTAATAAGCCAAAGTCCAAGCCAGCAAAGCAACATCAATGCAGTATTCAGAATCGCTCTCCCTGTTTGGCGCCCAGCGCTCAACCTAATCTACCGTATTATCCTACGATGCAGCTGGTTCACACAACAAGATCATTTTGGTTCACATATTTGCCCATACCATCGGCGACCTCTCTTTCATATATGAGGTATGTATCTCGTCGCCCCCTAATCAGTTCTCGTTCCCTAAAGATCATCTGATCATCCGCTGTACCCCCTGGTACCCAGCAGCCCATGCTACGGCCGCATACGTCCCGCTGTCCTGTCTAGCGTGTAGGTGCCCAGGCACAATCTTTCGCAGCTTGGGTCAACTGTATAGCTCAGCTTGGCGGGGTTTTCAGCATTCGCCCAACCAGCTGATGTGCAGAAGGAGCCTGAATACCCACATACGGGAATGTCAAATTGGCCTGTGATGAATACTCAGGCCCGCTTTCACTTAGGGCGGCCAGTTTGCTTGTTGGGGCCATGGCCCAGAACAATGTGATACCCGATAGGGCCTCTTGAGGGCTTGATCCTCATAACAATAATAATAATAATAATAATAATAATAATAATAATAATAGTAATAATAATAATAATAATAATAATAATAATAATAATAATATTAGTAATAATAGCAATAGTAACAATAATAATAATAATAGTAGCATTAATAGTGCAAGGAACCTGACTTTTCAAATCTCTAGATCATCAAACCGCCTGTATATAATAATATTAGTAATAATAGCAATAGTAACAATAATAATAATAATAGTAGCATTTAATAGCGGCTTCTTACAAACTCAGGTTGGGATGGGATAAGAAACAAGCAGAACAGTTTACATTATTAATGTTACTTAATACAAAAGATATCATGAATTCCAGAGTTCAGTGCCAACAAAAGGTAAGCCTCCCTTCGTCATGCAACGGCGCGGGGCCTGGCTCAGCCAGTGTTCTCCTTCAGACCACACGTGTGGCGCCATCAGGTAAGTGTCCACCATATCTTAACTCACTCCCTGTTTTTCTCTCTCTGCGCCGCTGGATGTCAGTGCGTGTCGCCGCGTATCAGCGTACACCATCGTTTCTGCGTTTCTTATTGCCTGCTTCCGTATGTTTGTCTTGACTGCCTGTGGCCGTCTGTCGCTGTCTTGTATGTCTGGCCACCACTATTTGTCTGTTCGTTGCCTTGTGTCTATTTTTGTTCAGGCCTCCTTTTGTCTATCACTGTCTGGGCTAGGGGGTGAGGCCTACTCTTGCTAAGTCAGCGATACCTGATCCCAGTTCAGTCAGCAACATATCGCGCGCGACTACATACGCCCAGGTTTGATGAAAACGGGGCAGACCAACAAGCTGCAGCAGTATAAATCAAAGAGGCAGTGCCCAGCCATTCATCTATTCCAGTGGAAATCATGCGGAAGCACTGTCTGAGTGACTGCGTCCGCCTCCTCTTGCGTATACCTGCCCTCCTGCCTGCTCGTCTGTCATCCCGTATGTTGGTCAGATCTGTGTGCCTGACTGACTGTATTTTGTTTTGTCTGTTTGATATGTTAGTGATCCTATTTCTACCCGTGTCTGCTGCTGTTGGTCTATCACGCATGTCTGTAACTGGCTCGCTATGTTGGGTTGGTGGTGCCCAGTCCACTCTTACTTAGTCCAGTTTGCCTGTACCGGGTGGGACTGTGTATACTCAGGGCTTGTAGAAAAAGACTGATTTGTAGTGAACAGAAATACAGGCCCAGAGGCAGTGTCCAGCCACCTGCTTATATGCCGCGTGATCCATGCGGGAGCGTTGCCACACCAATTGTGCAGGGAGGTCTGCAGTGAGCCTGGAGGACGCAGCGGGCGAGAGAGAAGAAGTTTAGTGCAGTGATAGGGTAGAGGCAGCCATAGCTGCCATAGCTGTAGTTGTTGACAGCAGCCTTTGCCATCTGAAGTAAGTTTACATTCGAACTGCGTTCTTAGTTGCCATACCTCTGAGCTTTGAGTGGATGCTTATCGCCAGTTCGTTGTGCCACATCTATATATTTACAATATTTATATTGTTGTTTTATCTACTATTTTATTGATTATTTTTGTATTTTTGATTTTTACAATTTCTATTACTGAGATTTGCATCATATTGAATTTCAGAAATAAATGTTTAATCCAATTATGTACTTTCTCTATTCTGTAGTTGTTGACAGCAGCCTTTGCCATCTGAAGTAAGCTTACATTCGAACTGCGTTCTTAGTTGCCATACCTCTGAGCTTTGAGTGGATGCTTATCGCCAGTTCGTTGTGCCACCAGTCTGCATGTATGTGGTGTGAGCACGAAAGCTAGGCCGATTGCAGAATAATAACAAAAATAATAATAATAATAATAACAATAATAATAATAAAAATAATAACAACAATAATAAAAATAAAAATAATAACAACAATAATAATAATAATGGTACTAATGAAATGGTATTCACCAGTTCGCAGCAGCTGATGCAGATTCCAAGGCTTGACCCTTAGTCCCCACCTTACCTGTGTACAGTGTCAGTGTTGACCCTTAGCGTTGAATCCGTGGCCTGTGTATTTGTAACAGTTGATAGGTCGCAGCTACTACAGTCTGGAAAGGTCAAGGTCGTAGCTGCTATGGTATCCGAAAGGCCATGTCTGAAGCTTCCGAAAGGTCCTAGCAGTGGCCTTTTCGAAGCTTCCCATGATTTAGGCTGAGGCAAATGGGCAGGTGGTGGAGTCTACTCGTGCTGAGTCAGCAGTCCCCGTCCCAGTCAGTCCTGGTCCAGTCAAGCAAGTAACACATAGGACCGTGTACACTATGGACATGAGAAAGGGTCAGACCAACGGCCTGCAGAAGTACAAGTCAAGAGGCAGCACCCAACCATTCATCCATTACTGCGTGAATCTTGCGGAAGTACTGCCACAGTGACTCGTGCGAGGTGGTCTGCAGATGCACCCGGAGTCAAAGTGGGCAGAGTAAAGGTTGCGCAGCCATAACCAGCAGTGTTGAGCGGTCATAGCTGCAGTAGTTGATAGGCGAGTGTAGCGTGTGTATGTGCGTTCAGTGGTGGACTCAGTGTAGCCAGCGAGATGTACAGTCGCTATCGTGCCATAGACTGTCGCAGCAAGTCCGCACCTGAACTGTGTTTCTCGAGTCTCATATCTCTGAGTTTAGAGTTGGGCGCCTGGTTCCAGTTTAACTTACCATCTGATTACAATTATGTGGATTGAAAGGAAAAAAAATAAAATAA